CAAATGTTGCTGTGACAAGTGAATGTCCCCATTGTGGGATTAATAAAGTTATCTATGTATCTATCTATATCAGATATGACTCATTTTTTTTTATTATCTCCTTGTTGTGATGTTGCAGGAGTATCAACAGCCTTGCGGATGTGCTACAGGGGGTACGGTTACCCTCTCACCCTGTTCCTGGAGGAGGGTGGGGTAGTGACTGTGTGCAAGATCAACACACAAGAACCCGAAGAGCCAATTGACTTTGAGTTCTGCAGCACCAACGTCACAAATAAGGTGGACTTTTTTTTATATATAATGAAAGATATATGGCAGATGGAAAAAAAAAACACACATAATAAACTCATAGTTACCCTGAGTACATAACTGATTACTGCTCGTGTACCACTGGCTCTTTTCAAAGGTGATCCTGCTGTCAGAGAGTCTCAAGGAAGCGTTCTCTGAACTGGACATGACCAGTGAGGTGTTACAGATCACCATGTCCCCCAGCCAGCCATACTTCAGGTGTGTTGTCAAAACTTTTGAAGCATCACTACTTGTTCTACAGTTTAGTGTTTACTGGAGATTTGGCTCATGATTATGGAAAACATACGTACATTTCACCTCCTTTCAATGATTGAACTGTCCGATCTTTTAAGGTGAAGGATGCACACTTAAACGTTCTTCAGAATGATTTTACAAAATATATACTTGCTCTGCTCTTCAGGTTGTCTACGTTTGGGAACTCTGGAAATGCGCATTATGATTATCCCAAAGACTCTGACATGATGGAACTATTCCGATGCACCAAAACACAAACCAACAGGTGAGCACAGAGAAGTACACTATGCTGTTACGGTCCTCAGGTGGACTAGGGGAACTGGAGACATGACAACCAGAACAAACAAATAGCAGAGGATGATTAGACAAAATACTACTACTACTTTTGTAATAGCTTTTTTAAAGAGCAAGTTAATATTAATTATTATTTGACTTTGTCTCACTGAGGCCAATCCTATTGTTTCAGTATTTTTACATGGTCGTCTCTAGTACCGCACACTGAGGAACATTCTTCCCATGAGTGTGATTGAAGCTCCACATTCTGTACTGTTCTGTTAACTGTTACAGGTACAAGATGTCCCTGCTGAAGCCGTCCACCAAAGCCCTGGCTCTCTCCTGTAAAGTCTCTGTGAGGACAGACAGCAGGGGCTTCCTCTCTCTACAGTACCTGGTCAGGAACGACGACGGACAGATCTGCTTTGTGGAATTTTATTGTTGTCCTGACGAGGAAGTGGAGTAGGAGTGATTACAGTCCACTGAATTCCTCTTTGAATAAGCATCTTAACTTCAGCGGCGGCCAGTCGCTTTGAATGAGAAGACAAAATCTGCCAGAGGAGGCAGTGCAGCCAGTGGGGAGCACACAGGGGAACAATGCTGGACTAAATCGGCACAGTGGATAATGGACACAGTGGGGAAAAGTTGCGTTGTTCAAGTTTGGTCAAGTTTGAGTGGAGCAACACCACGTGAAGGATAATGTCACCTACATGGTGTTATGTACCTGTATGAAGTTCATCATTTCAGACGGATACGGAAAATGACTGTTACTGTATATTGTATTGTTAGTTACTATGGAGACACAGATAGTGGGAGTTATTGTTTGTAGTCCAGTTGCAGCCATGATTGTCTGTGTTAAGTGTTTTAGCTCATCTTTCTGGAGCCTCTTCTGCCTTTTTTCCTTTGACTTATGCACTGAGCTGGTTGACAGCCCATAAAAGAGGGTATCTATAGAAATGGCACAATGATACATTTTTCTCAAGGTGTCTGGTGTAGCGTGTTAAAGTAATCTACACAGGCCCAGGACTATACATACATTGCCATAATGGCCGTTCATGTTGAAAGTATATTCTAAAAACCATTTATTTGGAGTGTACATCAGATGATACAGTTTTGATTATATTTTATTTCAATGACATAGAAAACAACTGTAGCCACTTAAAAGCAATAAACAAGGTTTTTCTTACACTTATTGAATATTTACTTTTATCAAAAAAGACGGGCAAATTGTTGGCCGTATTGTAAAAGCAGAGACCTTTATGGCCAGCTACAATCTGCACAGTCCTCCTGAAGGAGGGAGCAAAATATATATCGTGTGAAACCACAAACTGACATTAAACACAACCTGTCCATATTTAAGATTTTCTCTAGAACTTTCAAATATGTGATAATTAAATGATGACATGTTGCACAGTCTTTACAATCCAACAAAAAACTGACTGCACTGTTGTTTTACCACTTTTTCTTGAGACAAACCATACCAGTAGTTCACTCAGCTTTATTCAGTCCATCCAGTTACCTGCGGGCCATCCTTTGTCTTTTGAAAGCTTTGTGTTTGTTCTTCTTCACCATTTTTGGCTCAGGTGCTTCTGTCTGGATGTGAACAGGCTTCTCATCAGCTGGGGTTAGGAAGACGTCGGCTGTGACATCCCTGGCCAAGTCCTCCTTCGCTTCAGTCCTCTTCATTTTCTGCATCTCCTTCACCATCTGTTTCTCACGCACTCTGGCTGCTGCCGCCAGTCGAATTTCTCGCCGGTGCTGTGAATGTGTGAAGAGAAAAGTGACTGACAGAATCAGGAAATGTATCATGTAGCGTGGTCATGTCTCAGGAACACGAAATGAGATTCAATGTAACATCACACGCTTACAATGTAAACTAGCATGCACTGAATTTTACCATGTTAGGAGACTTGAAGTCTGGGTTTTCATAGAGCGTAGGCCCTCCAAAGCTCCCTTGAAAGACCTTGATGAGGTTGAGAACAAAGCGGGGGCCGATCTCCACTAGAGAGGCATCTTCCTCAATGATCTGAAAGTGGTACAGAGAAATTATTGCAAATGGAAAGAAGATGACTACTAAACCCACAACAGATGAGCTTCTCACAGCAATATTTACTAATGCTAATGTAAGCCTAGAACACTAAAACATTACCTGGTAGTTTCTAAACCATATCCTGTTGTCTGCAATGGTGAATGTGAAGACGTGGTCCACAAAAGGCTGACTCTTAGGGTGGTAGCGTGGAGTGGAAAATGTCTGGAATAGGAAAACGTAATGAGTACTTCCTTAACCTAGAACAAGGAGTTTTAGCTGGTTATGAAACAACCTCAATTTAATACTGATGCCTCTATATGACCTACATAAGCACACAAGACAATCAGGGTCAAATTCCCCTGAAAATCAATGAAACAAGGCAGTGGAGACACTACCACTTTTGTCTACAGGGGCCGCCAGAACTGACAAATGTTCCTTGCTTTACATTTAAAAAATGTAGATATAAAACCTACTCAGCTAGTAAGTAATAGCTTGCTTATGGTTACATTTACTGCTGGATTTAAACACTGATCAGTGTTGACACTGTCCACATCATATTACACCAAATAAACTTGGAGTTTTAGCAATTTAGTGCGACTAAATGTTAAATTGTTTAACATTACAGTTAAAGAACATGTATCCACTTTCCGCAATCTTCTGACTACAGCTGAACAGAAGGTCTACTTTGGAAGGCCATCACCAAAAGCATAGCCAGGATTAATGTATGCATCTTCTGATATATGCATGTATTGTATACACACCTGGGTGAAGAGCTCCTTCAGTAAAGCATAGTGGGGCTCCATGTCAAATTTCTGAAGAAGAAAGCAGATAAAGGTTATTCAGATTCTGACAAGTTCCTACCTTTACTGATCTATCAGCTCTTAACTTACAGTATTAAACACAAATTCCATGCAAACACTGATGGGGAATCATGGACCAGGGATGTAAAGAGTGTGCTGGTTTTTGGTCTAGTGAAATCTAGAATAATGAGTTTGGTCTTTGATTATTTGATTAGGCAATCTACAGGAAATGAATTGCCAAGTAAAGCAAAGACGCCTAAACATTTGCTGTTATCAGCCTTTCAAACAGGAGTGTGCCCACTGTCTCACTGATGTATTCACGTAAATCGTACCATTTAATTTCCCATTTAAAGATGTTTCAGGTTTTGGGTTGACATCACCTTGGGATTTCGGAATTTAGATCCTTTTATGGATAAAACTACAAATCCAAATCCTTTTCAAAAAGGCCAAGCTGTACATCATGAAATAATATGGTGCCGTGTTTGGATGGAAATACAGGTCTACGTGGCACACAGCTCCCTGTCACAGACATACACTCCTAATAAAATTATATTATTGACAGAATTACCACCAACATGTGCTATTGCTACTCACAGGATCGAACGAGAGCAGCGGTCTGGATCCTTTAAGGCAGTTTCCTGTCATCTTGAGTTCAGCCAGTGTATGAACTGTGGAGGAGACAATAATATATATCATTTTCCCCCCATGGCACATTACAGGTGTTGTTTACTGCACTTCAGGACTGTAGGACAGAAGTAACTCACTGTTTTGAACTAGAAACTTTGCAGAAGGTCCATGAGGGCTGTTTGAAATCCTAGAACAGAAGAACATTTTGGATTTTACTTGAAATGTGTTCTACAACACTAATTACAGAAAGTCAGCTTAATGTTAAGGGAATGTGAAGTAAAAATACTCACCACATGTAGAGGTCCTGCTTCTTCTTGGCCTCAAAAAAGAGGCATTTGTTGCAGTTTTTGATTTCACACACCTGGGAATAATGCAGATCTTTAGGTATGCTGTAATGCGAACGCTTATATAAACAGTGTGTCCAAATTTGAAAAGACAAACTCACCTCATTTACAACAAACAACTTGTCCTTTCTGTCCATTTTCGTATCTAACGGACAAAAGAAAAACCTTGTTATTATGGCTGTAAACATTGACAAAACCCATTTCTCTGCATGAAATACTGCATATGAATGATCGACGGTACTAACCTGCTTTTGAGTGAGGCATCATGGCCCTTAGGTCTTGCATCAAGTGTCTTGTTCTGAAGTTGATGCCTCTTGAGGAGAAAATGAGAACCCTTTCCTTGTTGGTCCATTTACCCTGTTTACGAGAATAAATCAGAACAAACTCAACAACGCTTATTATTATTATTGTGGATTTTAAAACGTATTCCCCTTCATCAACATTTCTAAGCAAATCAAATTCAGCATGTTTTATGAGTGGGCATGTTGTGATTTAACGTCTTTCTCTTTAGATAGATAGATAGATAGATACACTTTATTAATCCCCGAAGGGAAATTGGGTCGTCATAGCAGCCAAGTACATTAAAATACAATAGAATAAAATACTTAGAAGAAAAGATAAAAAAAGATAAATAGGTAGGTAAGGTGCAAAGAGTTGCAACATGGTGGTAATAGTACTGA